GTATAAGAGACAGCTCCTCTACATTACTGCAACTGTCAGAGCAATCCATGTTATTTTTGTTTATTTCTGAAAAAAGGGAGGGGGGAAGGGAGGCTCAGAGCACAGCCCCACAGGCAGGGGTACCAGCACAGCCAGAGTGCAGCGTGGCAAAGCCAGGGACAGAGACTCCAAAATGCGGATTGCCGGCAAAGTCCCCAGACTGTGAAACCATGCCTTTGCAAATCACCTACCCACCTTCATCTTCTTCCAGCTCTTGGGTTATGGTTTTCCTTCTTCTTAAAGAACACTTTATGGTGAGAACAGAGAACCATGGACTACCATTCAGTATTTATAGGCTGAAAATCTTTCAAATTAAGAGTGGGGTAAGGCATGCTCTGAACCCGTGTTTCTGAAGGGTAGAGAAAATTCATTTAGACCTTTCTGGGCAATTCCTACACACATTTGATGTGAACCTTTATCCCACAAGACAAGTAGCCAGCTTAGTGTTAACTGACACCAGACAGGCCTTGAGTCTTTTGGATTAAACAAATAACAGATCACAACAAAGTATGCTTGCAGAAGTCTCTAGTTAGTCGGTTACCATGCAAGCTCTCCCCTCAAAGAGGAGCAACTCACTCAGTGATGCTCTTCAGGGAAGCCAGACTAGCAGCCAAGAATTATGATCAGAGCACACCGCTCCTGGTCCACAGCAGTAGCAACAGGAAAGTGGATTACAGAACCTTTTCTTTCAATTGCGAAACTCTGAAGAGTAGAAAGGAGGGCAAGACAGAGCCCAGGTTTCTCTAGACTAACACAGAGATACTGCTGTGTAATTCAAATGGAATTTGATTTAAATTTGTAATTCAAAGAAAAGTAGTTGCTTCAACAAAAAAAACCACAAACCCACATGGAAAATTATTTATTTCATCTCTATTGTCTCCATGCAGAGCAGACCAATACAGATGAAGGGGGAAAATGCATAAGAGCAGCTGAAAAAATAGAGCTAGAAAATACAATTCTCTCTGCATTTCCAAAAGTGACCAATGTGGTGGAGTGATGCTCCGTTTCCTCCCAAGGCTCTCCATCCTCAGCCCCAGGGCTTGACGAAGTGGAAAACTAAGGAGCCCCTCTCTCCCACAAGCCCTGTGCTACCTCCTACCAGGGTATCTTCCCAAGAACCGCAGACTGTCCAGGCCTGTGGTGGCAGCCAAGAAAAACAACTCAGAAATTCTTTCTTCAGTGTCATCCACTTCACATTCCTGAATGCTGAGCACAAAATCCTGACTGTGGTTTTGTCTTGGCAAGTCTCAGTGCTGATGCAACAACGCCAACTCATGGGCACTCACCTGGCAATGCTTCAATTTAAATGCCAGCCTCATTTTGTGAAAGACGTCTTGGGAAACAGCAGGCACATCCTTCTGTGCAAACCTGCTTCCTCCAGAGCCCTACTACAGGGTCTCCTTAGCTGCAGTCCCGGGGTGGGGGGAAAACTAGAGGGTTAGCACACTCCCCCAGTCCCTGCAGGCTAATCAGATTAATCCTCCTTCCAGGAAAGCAGGAAGCAGATGCTACCTTCAGACTTCGTGACAATGGCATGATAGAGGGAGTAGTTGGCAGAGGAGGGCAACTTTGTGAAGAGGAATAAAAAAAATGCACTAAACCTCCCTCGTTGTTGCAGTGAAACTAGATACTGATGTAAGCCCGGGGTAAGGAAAGCTGAAAGAATTTTAGACAGCAGCTCCTGGGCAGAGAGAACCGCAAGCATGAGCTCTCCAACGTTCTCTGAAAAGTAGGACAGGAGCTGTCATAAAAAAAGAACTGTGTCAACAGTTCAGAAATCTCTTAGGGAAGTAAATGCCTCTGCTGTGGGCAGCATACCTGCCTCGTTGCTCTGACCCAAATCGCCCTCTCAAGGGATGAGCCCTCTCGATAAGGCCCTGGGCATACTGCAGAGCTCTACTGATTTACAAAAGCCGTTTTAAGACAGAGCTGACTTGGTGCAGTTCACTTTGTGACACCTGCTTTGTGTCCAGTGAGTTCGCTAGTTCAATCAGACCTGTTTTTAAACAGACTTAAGCAAAAAAGAGGATCATCTAGGAATTGTGCACGTCTCTGTGGTGACAAAGCACCCCTGTGGAATGATGGCCTGGTCAGCACCGTGAGCTGGGATGCGGGAAAGCACTAGAAATGTCATTTATTTTTACTGGTCTCAAATTACCAAAAATTTTATCCCAAGCGTCATACAACAGAAAACTCCTCTTAAAACATACTTGTTGTCACCTTTTCATATCCCTTTCTCTCCTTCCTTAGCACACAGCTTTTCTAGACCCGTTTTCACCAGCAGTTTTTCCCTTCCCATTTCACCCTCCCTCCAGTATTGTTTACTGCTGTGCCCCTTCCTTTAAGGGCTGTCAGTTCTTACCCATTCATTCCCAACTAACTCCACTGTGAGGTAAGAAGCCCAGAAATCAGCTACCATCTATATTTTTGGTTATAGCATGCTCTTAAATAGTCTACACTGTACAGAGGAAAAGCTAACCAGGGGTTATCGGCTGCTGACCAGGCTGTAGTGTTTGACTCTTGCCCAAACTGCCCAGATCTCTGCCGTGACGGTCTAGAGCTGCTGTAACATGACAGCAGGGCTAGCACACTACACTTCAAGAGAGCTCTGAAGCATGGTGTGGGACAGATGGTGGGTGAGTCGGATCTCGAGAGCAGGCTTAGAGACACATACAGCTAATGGTTATGAGAGGGAGCTCAGTCATAACAGCTTCATGGCTTTCCTTCAAGATGAAGGTGAGCTGGTAATGTGGCAGTAGAAGAAAGATTTACTGACCATTTTTCAGAAAAACACACTGTGCTGGCTATTGGAGTGGTTAGAGCTGAGGCAAGTAATCTCCAAGCTGAGCCATTTAATTGTAGTGACCTAAAGTGCCTCAAGCTTTTGGCTCGATTTCAACAAAATCAAATCAGAACAGACCAAAAAGATGGACTGCTGAGGCTAGTGCTACCTTTAGGAACAAGTGATGCCAGTGAAAAGCCAGAGATCAAGTTGGAAAGCGTCCTTTCCCCTCTATCTCATAGCACCGTTAACTTCTCATGGGTAGGGAATTCTGGCTAAAGCTGTTAGTTGTTACTTTGCCATCCCTGTTCTGCCTCCAGCCCTTAGAGTGGTAGGAAAAGTACTTCCCCTTCATCAGCTACAGGAATCACCTCTGTTGTTTCCACACAAGAGCTTGGGAGGTGCAGTTCCATCTGAATGAACCAAATGAAACTGTCCATTCACTGTGGAGCAGTTGTTCAGTTCATTTCTGCTCACTGTATCTTTTGCTCCATAAAACAAACAAAAAAACCGGAAGCCCTGATGTGTGAATTTTAGCAGAAGAGGGATAGGAGAGCCAGGGAATGAAGTCCTGCACACCCAGACCTCTTTCTCACCTGCTTCTCATACTAGCAGCCGGATCTGCGCACACACACACAGAGGAAATAAAATTAGTGTTCCTTATTGCTTTGTAACAGCTCAGAGTCACTGTGGTGGCTCTGGGAGGCATCATGAGGTCTGCGCAGGTCACTCAGTTGTGAGCGAGAGTAGCACCATGACTGTAATGCCTGTACACAGGAGCAGAATTTGCTGCAGGGAGTTCCTGGGAAAGAAACAGGAAAATTAGGAGGAACCTTAAACCAGTCCCAACAGGCAGCAGCGCAGAGGCTCATGAACAGTTTGTTCTTTGCCCTTTTGAATTTACCACAAGGAGAACACAACACGAAGTCAGTAACAGCTGAGAAGACTCTTTCCCAGCACCCCAAGCAAAGAAGCTGTCTATAAACTGACATGTTCCACTCAGCTGCAAGGCCCAACTTCAGGTTTCAAAATCAATTTAAGTCGATTCAGTCATGCAGCTACCCAGGCATGTATTCCTGTCCTTTCTCTCACAAGAGAACCAGCACTTCTGCAGCATGTTTGCGGGTACTTTAGGGACTTCATCCAGCTAACAACTACAGATACAGAAATTTTTTAAAAAGCTGGTAAATGTTCTTGTTCTTTTAGCACCATCTCAGGTTTATGTTGGACTGAAGTGACTATGTACCTACCACCTCTGCATACTCTGCCAACAGCTCTGCCAGCGAGAGGTTACCAACCCAAAAGCAAGCTCCCAACTGGTCATTAATATTTCTCCACCAGAAGCTCCTGCCTCCTCAGATCTAACTGTGGAGCTGTTTTCTGAGCACTTCCTTAAGTGTTTCAGTCAAAATGAACAAGGTGAGCCAAGGCATCTTATTCAAACTACAAAAGTTACCTGTCTCATTACAACTGAAACAGAAGGGAATAATCAGAGGCAGCTCTCCCAGCAGATCTGAGAGGGCCTTTACTGTGGTACAGTTAGATTTGGACCTGCTGCAACCTTAATCTGACTGCAAGAAACTAGAATAATACAGATGAGGGGAGGCCAAATATACCAGAATATATATATACACATATATATATATATACACACACATATATATATATATATATATATATATATATATATATATATATACACACACACATACACACACACCAGTGTAGAAGAGAGGTGACTTAAGTGGGATACAGTAACAGACTGTGAAATGCTGAATGATAAAGAGAAGAAAAATATTATTTTCTACTCACACAGCAACATCTGAATTAATCAAAATTAATAAACAAAAGGCTAAAAAGCAAATAATAAGAAGCATCATTTCACACAGTACAGTCAAACTATGTAAACGTGCTGCCAAAGGGAAATTGCAGAAGCTCAAAGTAATGGATAGCGTCAAGACGGGATGAGAGAAGCATGTGAAGGATGAGTTCGTGTGTGGTTACCAGACACAAACACCCCTCTCTAGGGAGCCCTGGTTCAGACAGTCCTTAAACCTGTGCATGCCAGAAGCTGCCACGACAGACTGAGGAATGGATCACCCTTACTGGGCATGTTTCTGAGCAACCTGCTCTAGCTGGTCATGCTACATACTGTGCTAGCACAATCTTTGGGACTGACACCGCTGACGGTCGGCATGTTTTATAGGGTCTTTGTAGTCCCATAAACGCAATAGCCAGCAGAGCAGTCTGCCTAGATTCCAGCCTTGCCCATGGGATTTGGAAAGCTGGCATTCATGCGCTCCCACAACAGGCATGGAGAAGGGTTAACTCCCTGCTCCCTGGCAGCAAGAATTGCTTCGGCATAGCAGGCAGGAGCACTTACCAGGGATTCTTTTCCTCCAGGAGATCAGGCACAACATTTACCAAGGCAATATATAGAAATCCTCCAGAAGTGAAAGGGAGGATCCAGGCTACCGTTTCCCCTGCACAAATACAGAAAGCTTTTGTTATTATGAAGACAAAGACAAGAGAGAGAACAAAGGGAAACAAGATACACACATGGGAACAATAGGCCCACCCTCCTATTGCTACAGAGGTCCCAGGGAGCCTCACCTGCTCCTTTTGGTGACTGAGCACATATTGCAAAGCAGGCCCCTAGAATCCCCCCCAGAGCTGTGGAAAGCTGCATCTTGGCTGCGCTCCAGCGGTCAAAGCCAGCCCGAAGTAGGATTGCAAAGTCTCCAACCTAAGGAAACCAAGAGCTGACAGTTAATGAATATGAACATTCTTAGTCACAAAGGCCATCCGTAACAAGACCATTTCTACTTTTCCATGCTGCCAGTCTTCCAGAGGAAGCAGCTTTCAAAGGGACAAGAAAACATTAACCAGACCCAGCCCTCCTCTTAGTAGATGAAGCACCCGTGCAAACCCTCATGATGACACGATACAAAGCCCTCTCACCTCATGTGGGATTTCATGCAGGAGAATGGCCATTGTGGTTAGGAACCCAACCTGTAGCAGAGGAGAAAAGGTGATTAGGAAACAGTCCCCCTAGATTGAGAGATGAGACTTTTTCAACAGCGTGTCAGGGCCCCTTTCTCCAAGTTAAGACTTGGATAGTTCTAAGCTCTGAGTAACAACAGTAAGGTAGATGAGCCAACCCTTCCCGTAAGGCCAGTACAAATGACTAACATGTCCCAAGTTTGAAGGAGCTCTGCATCAGAGGGTCAGGACAGGGTTGTTTTTTACTGTAGTCTCCATTTTGTCAGAAACCTCCAGAAAATAGGAGGGACTCCTCACATCTTTGGGGTTTTTGCATGTTGCGTCACACTCGAGAACAGGCCTCTCCATACACAGCTGGCAACAGAAACCTTACCTTTCTGCTAACCAGGAAGCTGGCTGCTACTGCCAAGCCGTGAGTAAAGTTATCAATGGTGTTGGCCAGCAGATTGAGGTATCCACTAATCTGCAAAGAGAAGAAAGAGCCCCTGATAAAGGAAGAGATGTAACAAGATAAAGGAAAGCACGTGGCTTAGATACAGGTTATACAGAGTCACAATTGGATGGGAAAGGTCAGGACGCGGCACTTCTGGTGAAGAACTTACGCTGTGTCAGAGCTCAAGTACAAATTAAATGTTATGTTCAGTTTTAGAGTATACTAAGTTTTAGGGTAAGCTAGTATTCTCCAGGATTAGGATAATCATTTTATGCAAATGATAAAGATCTCTAGAAACAGAAAAAGAGAAAAGAAAAAGAAGAAATGGAACCAATTTTAGGTAACGCTGACTAAGTCACACAGGTGACTGGCTTCAAATATGACTTGACCTTGTTTGTTGTCAGGTACTTTAATATTCAACTGTTAAATACCTCCTCTCCAAATGCTGGCAAGAACAATGCAACAGAACAAATGCTGTTGAAATTGCTTTTTATAACTAAACAAATCTCAAACATTGTACTAAAAAAACTTGTGCTTGTGGGTTTGCTTTCCCTTAACAAAGAATAAAAAGAGAAGATAGTGATGACAGTCACCAAAAAAACACCTACTAGAAGGCTGGATAGCATGTACATGCATTTGCATATAAACACATTTCTTAAAATCACAAGCATAATGCAGCTTCCTTCCTCCCAAGTCCATCTCTATGTTAGACTTCCCTATTATGCTAACTGTGGTCATCTCCAGACAAATTTTGCGTATTTGACCTGAAGTGATTTATGAGGGTACCACCCCCAGCTCTTTTGCTCACAGGTTTTTGCATTTTTTCCATCAGATTTAACAAAAACTACTGCGTGTGGGTCCTGAGATACTGCAGTTCAGTATACAGCACTACAGTTTAAATTATTATCAAACCAGGTGTTAGCCAATACATCAGGCTGTCTCTGGACTGCAAGAACTAAGCTGGCATACATTAACCCCACATATAGGGCAGCATCCAGTGAGTGGAGAGACTGTCTAGAAACTGTGAGGCATTAACCTCTTACTTCATCATAGCATCAGATGCCAAAGTTCAGCTGGAAAAACACAAGTGCTGATGGGTTTCATGACCCCGCTTTGGTCTTCTGCTCTACCCTGTTTCTATCAACCTCTGCTTGGGGCATCTTTTCTTTCTGCCATCTGTACTCCACAGCTTACATGAGGCTTTCTGCCAAGTCTCTTTCTCCAAAGCACCACCTTTCTGTAGGGCACTTGTACTGCACAATCTCAGGACATCTTTATAAGCTCTATACTTTCAAGAGTGCTTTGATGATTAAATATGAAAATAAAGAATTAAGCAAAGCCTAACTACAGATCACATTTAAGAAATAATGCAAGTAACATCTCCACAATGGATGCAGAAGAGTTTCCTGCGTGTTTTAAGAAGGGGAACACAAAGGGATGCATGCAGGCAGACCCACGAACACAGCAGTTTTACTTCTCATTCCTCATTTTCAGTCAAATATGACTGTCTAAAATTTCTCCTTTTCATGTCGGGATTTTATGTGATTGCATTTTCCCCACAGGCTAGTAATAATTATTCACATAAGTTCTACACAAAAATGCTTTCCCATACCACTGTACAGGGTAAAAAATAGACTTCATGATTAAAACATTATGACTTTTTCTTGTCAGTGGCTTGGGCAAAAGCTGTCACTGAAAGAAGCAAAGCCTTGGAGTGCTCAGAAATAAATTGGGTTGATTTGACAGTTATGAGCCTCTGACATTTACATTCTGTGAATCCTAATAGGATGTTCTCGTTGCTCATAAAGAGCACAGCCAGATGAAGTGTTTATGTTCATGCTTCAGAATTAATGTCACTATGCAATAAAACATACTTCTACAAATCAGCAAGGACCCCATGTGCCACAGGGAAAAAGAAAGAATAAGCAAGGCAAAAGTACTCCACAATGTTTTTACTTGTTGAAGGAATAAAGGCTGCAATGCGGGACAGAGCTGATCTATGTTTGGGCACAAAGGAAGCCTCCCACCTGCAGTTTTCAAGCTAGGACAAATTATTACAGCAGCAGCTAAAGAGCAGAAGTGCTAATATATATGGACAAAGAAAAACTGATTACAGCTTACTAATCATTAAGACCTGAAGGGTGACTTTGTTTGTTTAAATAGTATCTTCCCCTTTTTGTTTTCTGGGAAAAGGGAGGGGTTACCGGGTGAATAGTAGAACCAAAGAAGTCTGGCTTGCTAGGGCTTTCTCACTTTTCTTTGGAGGCACCTACTTTGCTTCCAGCAACACCGTTTCCCTGCACAGCCCTTCGCCACCCTGCGTTCCATGACAACCAATGCCCTATCAGGCAGGGGCAGTGGGGCTGACCTGCTGCTCTGCAGGCCCCACAGACCTGCCAAGCATCATGCAGCATCTACCTTCTGCCAGTTTTTCAGTCGGGCATTAGTTTGCATTCCTCCTCTATCACCATAATGGTTTTTATGGAACTTGCAGAAATTTCATTACCCTCAAGACTTCTATCCTCTTCTGAACTCAAGTAAAATTAATTATGGGTTCAAAAGTTATTGAAAATGAAGGGCAGAACAGATGGACAGACAGATGGAATGACTGCTTATGTTGTTGCCTAAGGAAACAGGCTAACAACGCAGGAATATCTTGGTAGTTTTGGTAATTTCCCCCCTACCAGAAAGACTATTAACATATTCAGATTATATGCTCAGAAGGTAGAAAGTTAAAACTACACACATTAACTCATTAGTTTCTATTTCATGCCATATTGACAACCGCTATAAGACTGAACAGAGGTGTTAGGATTTTAAAGCTAGAAGGGCTCTCCTTGGTTGTCTAGACAGTTTAGATAACACAGCTGAAAGTCTCATTCAATTTCTGCACGAAGCCCACTGTTTCTCAAGCTATAATGTACTTTGCAGAAAGCAGCTTAAACCACAGTTTAGAGCCCACAAGTGACAAAGAATCTACCGTGTCTCTAAGGTAAGTTGGTCCACTGACAAGTTCCCTCAGTTAGAGAGCTGTCTTTGATTTCTAGTCTGCTACTGTTTGGTATAGGTTTAATTACTCAAATTTAGTCATGCCTCTTACATGAGTATTTGTATACTTTAAGTCACCCCTGATCTGTCATCTACAGAGCTAAAGACTACGGAAAACAACTTGTTATCATGTACTGCAAACTTAAAGTAATTATTTCAGCTCTCTCCTGACCACTTTACAAATTATCATGGTACTTCGGATATCGTGAATAATGCTACTGGAAGAAGTCAGAGACCTGTTTCATTACTGCTGTACAGAGAGAGGAACACTTGCCTCTTCTCATACATACTACTGCCTACTCACCCATCCCCCTGGCTGTAGCATCATAATGGAAGAATGTGTTCAAACAATTTCCTACTGTGATTCTCATACCTTTTTCCAAGGCACTGTCTTCCTAGAAACCATCCCTATCTTGTAAATATGACCTGCATTCTTTCTTAATCTATTCCTTAGTATTTGCATGTATCAAAACATGTTAAAAATTCAGCTCTGATGAAGTTACTCAGTTTAGCTGGTATCACTGATCTCATCCAGTCACAATGTGTCATTTAAGTAATATTACAGTATCTGCAAATGTGAAGATATACTGTTTTTATAATCACTTAGGAAAAAACCATCAACAACCAGTGAACAGACTGGCAGGGGGGGGCTGCATTAATCCAGTCTCAGTTGATAATATATAATAACTGATTTTTAATACAGCTAACATGAGTAAAGTTGATTTCATGCAATGAAATTCAATTGGTTTCATTAGAATGTTGAAGTTCTGTTTCATATACATTTGTCAGTGTCATTAGCTTTATCAAACAATCTGATGACCAAATAAAAGGCAGGGAAAGATGACTGGTTGACAAGTATTTATTTTCCATAAGATCATACCAATTAGCACCATTAATTACTTTTTTTTTTTTTTAACATTAGGACCAGGCCCTGAGCAACTGTGTCCCCCACCAGTGTTTCATTTCTACTTGACATCAGTGGTAGACCAACCATCCTCTAAGTCCACAGTTCCTTATATAAACCTTTCTGAAATCATGGCACAATGTTTCATATCCCAGTAATACTGGCTCCTTCACCACTATCACATCTAAAAACACCAACGCGGCACCCTGCAGTCTGTGCAGGGTTCTGTACAGATTACATGAATACGACATACCAAAAATATCCAGTGACCTCACCATATCTGTCATGTTGTGTAGTAAGAGCTATAAAGTTATAGCAAAACAAATTTAAAATAGAAAGACTGAAGGGCCTCTGTCTGACCACATGTCCAGGTTTGGGCTAGTTCATGCAACCACACTTTCTGTTCATAGTTACTCTCCTACCATCCTGCACATTTTTATGGGCTTTCAAACTCAAATTATAGGTCCTCCTTCACCAAAGTGGTCGTTTAGTCTCTCGCTTGTGATGTTCACCCAGACAAGGGCTTCTGTAGCGCGAAGATAGTAACATAAAACTGAAAGCAAAGCCGATCTAAAGGTTAGCCACTGCCCAACGGTACAGTATTCCTCTTCCCTCCTCCACCTCCAATCCTATGAGCTTGATGATCTCCCTTATCCCAGCACTACAGGCTGTCTGTCTACATGCCAAGCTGCTTCAAGAAGTTAAGACATAAATAAACCTGGGGTAGAGGGAGAAAAAAAGAAGAAAAAAAAAAAAGAAAAAAGCTAATTCTTTGCTTATTTAACTCCATGAATAGGCTCACTGTGGGGTTAGATGAGGTCCAGTGCAAAGGAAGTGATGGGAAATACAGGTTTAGAGGCAGAAGTGGACAAGCAACCCTTTTTGGCCGCAGATAAACTGTTTATCTGAGAAACTGAACTGCTAAGTTTTACAGTGGATAGCTTCAACTGTCAAAATGCTTCCAAAAGGTGCCTTAAAAGGAAACATGCAGTTCACAAGTGGTACAAAGCAGGTACTAGAGAACAGAGAAATCATGGCACAAAAATTTAAGCAAAGATACAGTGACTATAAGATATAGCGTACCAAAATGTGAAAGTACTGCACTTTGGTCTTGGGATTCAGCCAAAACAAACATCATCAGCCTTATGCCTTCACAATAGTGACTGCCTCTTTTGCATAAAATGCAGTGCAGATTTTCTCCAAGTCTGCTTTTTCTCCCTGCTGTGACCTGGACAGACACTCTGACAATTAAGCACAACTCAAACACTGATCTCCCCACTCAGACACAGTTCTTTTCGAAGACAACTCATCCTCCTGAATGAATTTTAAAATACATACCCTGAAAACAGAAGATGTAAAGGTCAGTTTGTGGGTCTCTTTACCTTGATTCTGTTGTCTGTTGGACAAGACTGGAGAGAGGAGCCATTACACTGAGCTGAATCTCTTCCTGCTCTTTGGGGCTGGCCTGCCACCTTTGGTAGGGGGTAGCCACTGCCATTAGGAACCTTTCCAGCTGATGCTTTGGAATCACAGCCCTAAATTAAGGGAAAAGAACTTGTCACTACCTTTTTGTCAGTGATGAATCCTATGAATCAGGGTCAGAAATCCAATCTTCACCCTTAACCCTTTTGTCCTTACAAAGCACATCAGCAGCGTTGGTACCCCTGTTTAATAAGAACAACTGCTAGAAATGAGAGAGATTTGAGAGAGCATTGTGACATCTGCACTGTGAGATAAGAACAAGGACTTCCCCAATCACCAAGAGAAGGAAAGTAGAAAGCAGGAATTGGAGTCACGCTCACTTGGCATGAGCCAGGTTCCACTGGAAAGACCAGGGACTGAGTTGCTGCAGCTGCTGCCCAGAGAAACGTAACTCCATCTGGGCAGGGGATGGGGGGAAAAGTCTTCCACTTCCCAGTGCATCAGAATAGCTAAGTCTAGAAATTAATCTACAGCTGGGATTGTCAGCTTCCAAACAACAAAATGTTCCTCTCAGACTTCAATCTCTGTAAATGAGAAGACTGAGTTACTTCCAGACTTGTCTGTGTTGCCCCTTTGCAGCTGGGTGACTCTCCTCTGAACCAGTACTAGTCCAAGCTATACCCAAGAGCGGGCAGTGAGGAACACCTTCCAGAGAAGGCTGGTCTGCACCCAGAAGGGGAGTGAGTCACGATGGCTCAGTGGAACAGGGATCAGCAAGCTGTTATCCCTCAAAGCTCACTTGAGCAAAAGTCATCTGCAGAGTGCTCTGGCTCCCAGTCCTCATAAAAGGGGAGTTCTTTTACACAAAGCACATCAAGAACAAAACCAGCCCAAAGGTGAGAAACTGCAGCTAAAACCACAAAACCAAAGCCTGGAGATGAAACACCTTCTTCTAGGCCCCAGTGTCAAAGAAGTGTCAAAAAGCTCCCACAGGGCATTGACAAGCTACTCACAGCTCCATGATCATTTGCTGAGCCTGCCAGATAGGACAGATGAGGTGCTTAGTAGTGCTCCAAACCTAAGAGCACTCCCTCCCCTCTGGCTGCTAACTTACCACACCAGGACATTCCTTCTCTTCTTTCTCTATGAAGATCTTCTCTAGCACCAGGAAGGTCAGGAAACCAACAATCACCCAGAGACCCAGAAGCTTCTGCTGCTGAAAGCTCTGCCCTTCTCCTGAAGGACAAGAGAGAAACCATGTCATTATCACCTAAACAGTGTTTCCCACATGCGAACCCACCTCACCCCAGACAGTTTAACCAGGAGTTCCAAGACAAAAAACAAGACAATAGAAACACCTACTGCAAGGAATAAGGAGCAAACATATCTCAAGGCAAATAAGTTTAACTTGTTCATTCTTGATCTAACATATCCTCATCTCAGGACACTAAGAGTGAGAGCCCCTACCCCTTTTGCTTCAATAGTGCAATCCAGAATATTTCCTGACAATACTAGGAATTTCCTTCTTCCAGAGGCAAGTGAAGATTACACATCACAAAAATCCTGCAGCTGTATCTACCGAGCAGCAAGCCCTGACATGAAATCTGGTATTCGTGGAGCTACAAACTCACCTTCCCCTTTCTGCCACACCTGGGCAAGTTATTAAGCCCAAAGCTATAAACTTTCTTTTCAATTACAGCCAAGCTTGTGAGATAATCATCCATTTCACCCTGGCTGCAGAAATGGAGATTGCATTGCAGTGGAAGAACAGAACGACTCTGTAATGGGACTCACATGGGTCAAGGAAACCTTTATGCTTCAGGACAGTCTGGCAGAAGCAAACAAGCTAGAGCAGGAAGACAGTCATTTGGGAACCACTGTAGAAAGGGGGAAAAAAGGACAGCAGGTTCTGCTGGCAGTGCTAGAGCCATGAGGAAGAGAACCAAAGGCCCAGCAGATCTGAAATCCAAGGCCGTATGTGCAAGGAAGTCCAGGAAACCCAGGGCATGCTTTTTCCCTCTCTCATGTTTTCAGCAATGAAATGATTTCTTGGTCTCTCAACAGGTGGGATGCAGCAGCACTTGCCTTCTATGCTATCAGTTTGCTAAAGCAAAGAGATGCAGTCACTACAGCTTTCAACAACCCTGGCTATCTGAGAGGTGAAGGTGATACACTGATATCTATTCCAACCCAAACAATGTTTAGTTTTCAGGCGAACACAGGTTTCTGTCACCTTCATTTCCTTTTTCTCCCCCCAACCCCGCTCCTCCATCTTAGTCATGGCTCTGTGGACAATTTTCCATGACTTCTCTTTGAGCAAAGATTGAGAGGGCAACACATTTGGGCTCCCATAGATCGAAGTACCCAGCAGAGGGACTCCAGTTAATCACAAGAAAGAGGCTCTAGGACTAACACTGTTATAGGGACAGATTTTTAGACAAGCTGCATCTGATGGGGCAGAGTCCCCAAGTGAGATGGTGCACATGTTCATGTACCAGACCACACGCACATTTACAACTTCTCACCAGATTAAAGCAGAATTCCCTTTTCTTAGAGAAAGGACAAAGAAAAATCACCAGAGATTTACAGAAGTCCAAGGCAACATAGGAAAAGTCAGTATATAATAAATCCATTGGAAGTTACTAAACATAAAGAAACCGTGGCCAACTCAGGAAGCCTCCAATCTCAAAATCTTTGGACTGCAGAGTACAAAGATGAAGTATTACATATGATTTATTGTTTTATATCCTCCCCTAGGCATTTGATTTTACACATTGTTTGAAAGAGAATACCAGCCTAGACCAGTTTTGGGGCTGACCCAGCCTGGCTGATCTTGTATTTTCAAGATGGAACAGACTCAAAAAAATGTAGCAGTAGGCATAGCACAGACTGCTTCTTGGTACATAAGGCTTTCATACCTGTCGTTGCACTGCATGTGTAGGCCCAGGCTTCGGGAAGCAGGTGCAGGAACACATTCCCCAGTAGCCCACCAATTGCAAAACTCAACAACTGCTTCAAACGGTGTGATCCAGCTAAAAACAAAACAAAACAAAAACTGATCGCAACTCAGCTGGGAGCCAGAACATATCCAGCTGAGATTTCGCACAGAGACCTAAATTGGAAGCATCTGCAAAGCAAGTTTTCAAAGGAGAGAGCACAAAACAAATAGCTGGAGTGCAAGAAAAAGCCCTTGCACCACTTGGCTGGGACAGCAGTGTGTGGGAGGGTCCTGGAGAACACAGGGTGCAGAACAAACAATACTCTTTGTACAAGCTCCACCCAGGGCTTGCATTTGTCCAGGGACTCCCTATCAAACTGGCAGGTATGGTCTAAAGTACCAGAAATGGACTATTTTAGACAATATTTCTGTGACAAGGTCTCATTTACCACCGTGCCATTCAGTTACAACCCAGTACTTTTGGCTTCAGAAAGGCAAATGCAGGTATAAGGCTTACCTTCTGACCTCAGAGCAGCTCCTGTTTCAAATGGGATCACCAGCAAGGGGAAGACCCCACTCAGCCCCACCATGAATGAACCAATGAGGGAACAGATCCAGGCATCCAGCCGCTCGCTGCTGAAAAGGTTTCCCCAGGACTCTGCCTCCTTCTCGCACAGAGGACCAGAACTAGCAGCAACATGACTCCTTGGGAGCTGCTGAGCTTCACAGGCCACGAACAGAAACAAGGAGACTGTCCCATCAAGCAGAAGCTTTTGTTTGGTCATCGCTAAGTGGTCTCAGCCGGGCTGGCCGATCTCTGAAAACAGCAGGGGAGAGCAGTTCTGAGAGCATGCCCAAGACTCCCTCCCACCATCCCAGAGGAAAGGCCTTGGTCACACCACCCCCTCCCTCATCACCTTAACACAGGTAGGGATCCCCGTAAGGAACATCTGAAACTCTTCCCAATTTCAACACAGTACTAAAGGACAGAGAGGCTGCTTATCATCAGGTGTATGAAACTGCACGAGACATCTTGTGAAAGAGTCTGGATTTCAACATCTCCCCTCAGGTGGGCTGGACAAGGACTCCAAAGTACCCTTGTCCTTGTCCTTCAGTGTCCTCAGGCTTCAGAGAAATGCATTGACCAGAGATGCTACCCAGATAAGTCTTCTCTTTGCCATGGAACTACACCCATGCAACAAATTAGGATGCAAGACAGGCAATAACAGAGGTCTGTAAAATCACTAGTGGTGTAACGATGGTGAACAAGGGTAGGTTATTCGCTGTCTCTTCAGACTTAAGTGCTAAGAGCCATCACATGAAGCCAGTGAGGGTCAGCTTCAGTACAAAAGATGTGACTCTTCATCAGCAGGTAACTTGTGTGGTAGTACTTCTCCAAAAATGATGAAAAATTTTACATGGATTCAACAAAAGGCAGGACAAGTACTAGAAAGACAAACCTATTGATCGTTCATGGTTAGAGAGCTCACATTAGACTCAGGAAATCCCCTTATCTGAAAGGAGTCGGAGGCTGGAAGAGTAGTTGGAAAATATACATACTTGTCTTATTTTTAGTCTTTCCTAGAAGGATCCTGGGTTAGATGGTCTCTTAGTCAAAATCAGCAGACTTGTTACTAAAACTCTTCAGTCACAAGAAAACTGAAGAGAAGCGGGCATGTTAGAAGAGGAAATTAATGATAATTACCCTCTCATTGGCAAACAGGAAAGGAAAGCAAATGATGCAAAGGCTGAAGTATAAATGCTCCTTCAGTCTCCAAAAGAAAAAGTGAAATGTGACAAGCAAAATTAATTTGGAAATGGGAGAAAAATAGCGGGTTATAAAAGAACAGCTTAACAAATGTGCGCAAAACAGCTGTAGATTAAGAGGGAATGACAGCATTCGCTTGAAATCATGTAAGAAACCAGTCAAAGTAATCTCGGAAGCATTAGTGACCATCTTTGAAAATTTACAGGAATATGGGAAGGCCACAGAAGGCTGGAGAAGCATCATGCCTCACCTACCTTTATAAAAAGAAAAAAAAAAGGTGGGAGAAGACTTAAGAAGCTACAGATCAGTAACTTCAATCCTCTGAAAGATTCTTGATCAAGTTAAATGATCAGTTTGTAGTTACCTACAAGATAAGAAAGTGATAAAGATAGCAAAGCATTAAGTAACAGCCAGACAGAAGGGGGCTTGAAATTATCAAGACAAAATTCAGAGTGTTGGAACCTATCTAAGGGCTCACTACAGCTGAAAAGAGCGATGTTGCCCCTTGTCCCCCACTCCCCCTCATGAAGCATCCCCTCCCCATACTCACACCTGACCCCGTAAGTGAGCAGGCTCAGACCAAACTATCATGAAAAACTATTGCTTTAAAGGCTTAGCTCTTTTCAAAATTCAGTCCCTGAATTCAGTCACTGTAGGAAGAAGACCCAGTTGCAGTGAGCAATCAAAAAAAAAAAAAAAAAAAATTAAAGGACAGGCTCCTATGAAGGAGCACGCTGAGCTCCAAGCAGAGTGACCACGGGCACCAGGAGCAGGGAAGGATGCAAGGAGGAACCAAGGAAGACACTGGCTTAGTTAGCTTTGCAAGAACCACTAGAATTGTCTGTGGCAAGATAATGTCTGATCAAGTGTAAACTCTACAGACCCATACAAAACCCATCACTTTTTTTTTTTGACAGGAAAAATAAAATCCTTCAACATAACAAGTTTGAACCAGCTCTGGATTTTGTGGCATCTTATTACAGTGTTTTGATCTGGCTGCAGGAACCCTAGACCTACCTATAGCATACTATCAAACCAATCTCAGCAAAGGCCACTATAAAACAGTATACTAAGAGGGGGAAAAAAAAAAATAATCAAACAGACATGACAAAACAGTAACTCTGATATGCAAAAAATAAAAATGCATTCATACATTACATTCATACATTGATTCAGAACTTAACTTCAAGCCAGCAAGTTTATGTTGCTCCAAAGCAGACAAATGACATCCTAGGACATGTTAGTAACTACATTGTAGGTGTGACACAGAAGCAGTAATTCCATTCCCCTTCACACACAAGACCTCAGGAAACAGACCACACCCAGCCTCACATACTCTTCTTTATAGAAAAATCAGAGACATCACAGTGGAAAGAAACAAAAATTAGAGTGTAGAAAGCGTAACGTGGAAAAAATGACTGAAGGACCTGGGCATGTTTAGTCTTAAAAAGATAACAAGTGAACAGAACAGTCTGCATATACTAAGTGTTGCAAGAAAGGGGAAAAGCGCTCAACTCTTCCTCCATGTTGTACCATCAGCTCAAATGGTAAACAAGATTCAGCCTGGAGAAAAAATAAGGTTACGTAGTGCCAAAGTGGTGATCCACTGAAACAGGTTACCTATGCTGCAGAATCTCTGGCACTGTGGTTGGTTTTTTTCTTTTGAGAAAAAGAACACCTGATGCAGATGCTATTTCACTGCAAAGACTAGATCCCTTCTTGAAGACCCTCCAGCCCTAAACCTGCAATTCGATGTAAGCTGGTGAGATCCTTGTTCTACTGGCAGGACCCTACAAAAAAGGGCAGGTTTTCAGCTGTAAATCACTATTGGCACAACCACTTCAAAACAACAGGGAAGGGCTGGGGTGGGGCGGCAGCAAGGGACAATTTCATCTCTCACAACACTCCATGCACCAAGTCACAGACCCTGAGGTGAAGAGGCACTGGGCTGATGCTCGGGGCAGCAGTGACAACGGCGAGGAGAGCCTGACAAGCCAGAGATGCTGCCCTCGTCCCAGCTCCACCACATGCACACCCCTGGGACACTGCCAGGCCCTCTGGCTCCCCTCACTGGGGTTCAGGTTCCCCCCACAGCTATGCAAACAGACACACACAACTACAGTAAAACTATGCCACAGAATCCCCCAAATTTCTCCTTGGGAAAAAACCAACAAACCCACAAAAAGATAGGAAGCTCTTAAAATGTTAGCTGTCCCCTAAGTGAACAGTTTCTTCTGTCATGAGGACCCTTACAGGCTGAAACCATCAGCCACAGAGGCATCTGCGCAGGGAAGTGACGGGACTCTGCAGGCAGATTACACTAGCCACAGCCTTCTCTCTGCTTACTAGCTGCTGCATAACAACCTGCAGTTAGAATTTTCAGATTTCAAAGAGCCAGGCACCCCTTCCAATCCCAGAGCAGGCCTGCCAGATGTCCTCTTCCTTTATGATGGGATTAGACCTAGAAAATGACTGCGAACAGCTTCTTTGTGCGGAGCAGAGAAAAAAAAAATAAAATCAGGATTTATACAACCACCATATGCCTATGAAGAGGCAACAAACACACACAGCAAAACGACTGCTCTCTGCAGCACGGCAATGATGGGAAGTGGCACAAACTGGCCTCTTCTGCACCATTGTCATCACAGATTTTGAGAATTAGTCTGGAAAAGTAATCACTGCAACCGATCCAACAGGTCCATTTCTTCCATCTCATTCTCCACACTCACAGCCTACATCTGTTCCAAGGGACACCTGAAAGGATCTTTTGAGACTAAGTGACCAAAATCCTGGAGAGAGGCAACAGCACACAGGACAACGGGCATTTCAGGGCTCTGAAAACAGGCTGCATACCTGGAGTCATGTCCTTCTTCCAGCAGCAAAAGGGACCAGCTTCCTCCAAAAAGGGATGGTGATGGACAATAAATGGGCATAAAGGGGTAGAAAACTGATTCCCCTAACTCACATTTGTGTCAGTCAACTTTCTGTGGCCCACAGGTCGGTCTTCTCATGTTACTTACACAAGGGAAAACCAGTACATTTCTTTACACCTGTGCTGCCTGACCATCACCCTGTGGCTCAAGAACATCCCCATATCTCACGCAATAATGCTTATAAAACACCTACGAGGAACTTGGTGCATCATCCAGGACTTGTTTGAACTGATCTTTTTGCCCAGCTAAATATTTTGAGCATATTCCCAGCATTTGCTTCTTCCCATCATAACCACTTGCTCTAAAAAAATGCACTTTTTGTCTCTAGTGCCCCTTTGCTTCTCTATCTCACTAGTACATGCTCCTCATGAGACATGAAGTTTACTTAATGTTTGCAAAGTCTCTAAATTCAAACTAGCTGCTCCTAAGACAAATATTTAAGAGGAAGAAAAGAAGCAGTCAATATGTAGTCCTAGGAAAAAAAAGCTCAAGAGAGAAACTAATACCCTGTCACTAAATTTGCAGAGGATGGAAGAAGTCTTTACCTACCCTAGACAACAGCATCTGTTTTAGTAACCCAAGTAGGTCTTGAGAAATTTCTAGAGAAAGCACCTGCAGGTTCTCAGAGAAGTCTGTGATCACTATGAGACAGAGGCACAACCAGGCTTATAGAGATGTGTTTTTCTCAGGAAGGGTTATTTAAGAACATGCATAGGAGAGAAACAGCCAGTGCATCACTCCCTCGTCAGTTTTGACAACACCACTGTTTGGGATCACAGCTCCCAGCTGTGCCAGATCACAACCTGGTCACTATTTCCACTGGAGCAGTCTCCAGAGCATCACATGTCCTGCGCAGGGCTCCTAGCCCAGCATTCAGGAGCCAGGTCTGCTCAGCTCCTTCTGCAACAGCCTCACCACTGGAATAACCATGAGTTCTTCCCAGCTCAGGAAGAACAAATTAATGAGAATTTGCTATTTACACCCCTTGAGTAGGGGCAGAGGGAGGCTGCACACCAAGCCAGGACAGGAGGAGGCTCCGGGGAGACCTTCTAGCAGCCTTCCAATACTTAAGGGGATTACAGAAAAGTTGTGGAAGGACTCTTGATCAGGGGGTGCAGGGATAGGAGAGGGGTAAGAGTTTTAAACTGAAGAGGGCAGATTTAGATTAGATATAGGGCAGAATTCCTTCACTGTGAGACACTGGCACAGGTTGCCCAGAGAAGCTGTGGCTGCCCCCTCCCTGGAAGGGTTCAAGGCCAGGCTGGACGGGGCTGTGAGCAACCTGGGCTAGTGGAAGGTGTCCCTACCCATGGCAGGGGGTGGGACTAGATGGTCTTGAAGGTCACTTCCAACTCAAACCATTATAGAAGAGATCCTGCTCTCCTTCCAAGAGGGTCCCAGGGCCTCCCCCACCTCACAGCACTCACTGAGCACCTCTGTAGCACGCATTGCCTGAGAAAACAAGGACAAAACTTGCCAAGTCAAAAAACTACTGGAAAATAAAAAATAAAATATTGACACGACAGCGATTCCTGCAGCACCCCACCTCCTCCCCTTAGACACTCTGCCTTTTCAGACCACACAGCTTCGTCTCAGTCTCAGCCCAACTGATCATTGCCACACACTGACATTTTAGATGTTGTTGGGGGGAAAAAAATGAAAAAGGGTTTTTTACAAGTGTTTTCCCTGGAAGCTCGTTGCCTGGTTTTACAGTTGCAAAAGAGTACTGTATGGAATGGAAAAAAAAAAGCTATTTTCCAGGGAGGAAGCATAATATTCAGCCAAAAAACTCTCCACGAGCTGCCTCCCTTCAGTAGCCCCGTGGAGAGCTTTGAATTCCTCCTGGAAGGCCCGACCTCGGCAGAGGCAGCAAAGGTCTCCAGTCCCTCCAAGCACTCCCTCCTCTCTCAGCCAGCGCCCACCTTCAGGGACCGCGCTGCTCCGGCGGGTCCCTTCCCCTTTCCCCCATCCCTCTCACCAAACCCCGCTTTGCAGAGCCCCGCATTCCCGCGAATCACGCACATCACAGCGTGCGCAGCCCAAAACTGGAGATGCGCAGGACTAAGAACAATGGGGTATCGCAGATCCGAACGGATTACAGACCCCGGGGGCAACCCCAAGAGCTGGCAAGGGAGGCGGATAAACCGCCGATTTGAGCATCCCCGTCGTTTGGGAGACAGCGACTCCTTCCCCATCCTACTCAGGACGAAAGAGTAAAGTTTGCGGGTCAGGCAATGGCGTTCACCCCCCCAGGCCGAGGTGGGGTTTCTCTCCCCACAGCAGCCCGTGGCAGAGGCCGGGCAGGCCCCGGCACAACCCTTATCTGCGGGCGGTAAGACGGCGGCCCCGCTCTCGCCGTTGTTTCTAACAGCACCGCGGGTGGCGGCTGCCGGGACAGACAGCGCGGGTCTGTGTTAGCGGAATGCTGACCCACGCAAAGCGAGACAGATTTCCCGGGAGGGGGGGGGGAAAGGGGGGGACTAAATTAACCCTG